CAGCGCCTTGCCGCGGGGGGCGACTGCTCGGCCCCGTGGTGGTCCCGCCGGGATGGAGTAACTAGTGGTGCTTGCGTGGGGTGTGCGGCGTCACCGTCCGGCGTCCTGCTCGTGCGTGCCACTAGTTCAGCCCTGTCAGCTGGGGGGGGGCGGACGGAGTGTCAGGGTCCCTGTACTTTTTCACCTCAGTAATTTCTAAGGTTGTCAATGTGCTTTATTTGGAAAGGGGGAACAAAAAAAGGAAAAAAGGAAACATGGAGACTGAGTATGTGTAGCAGAGGAGTCCCTGAAAAATGAACTTTTAATTGGAAGGACTCACCAAAGATAAGCTTTAAAAAAGAGCTTGTCAAAATGTAACCGTATACTGGGTGTTTTGCAAGTCTGTGAGGGTGTCTGCCGCGTCTGGAGGCATGTGTGTGTGCACTTCATGTTGCTGGGGTGAGTCAACAGTGTTTATTTTGTGAGTGTATGAGGCATTTCCCAAAGGACGTGCAGCCAGCGTGGGTGAACAAACCGGATTTGTCACGGTCTGGCTGGAGCAGCCTGCCTGGGCTTGAAGGGAAACGGGAGTCGGCTTAAGCAGTAAACCACTTACAGCCTCGAAGGGGGGGGCGATGTTTTTTTCTTGGGATTTTTTTGGTTGGTTTTTTTTGTTGTGGTTTTTTTTTTTTTCATTTCCTCTCAAAGAAAATACGTATGAGCTTGCAAAGAATCTCTGGCAGGGGGCAATAAAAAGCTCAGGGGAAAAAAGAGGTCTTTAGCAGTAATTGCGAAGTTACTCTGCTGCGTTAACGCTGCAGCCACTTTCGGTGAGGCTGCACGAGCCTCCGTCTTTCCTCAGCCCGCGGCCCAGGTCCGCCGCGCAGCTCTGGTGAGGAGCAATGGCTTACCTGTAGCGCGTGTGGCTTTTTCCACAGTCAAAGCATTTATCTCTGCATCCTTCCAAATTTCTTCGTGCTGTTGTGGGTCACTGTTCTATTACACCTAATTTGCAGTTAATAAGTTGCAGCTGTTTTCCACCCTGTATTTCCTATCCAGTTTTAATTTGTAGCCTACAAATGAATGTTCAGAGTCCAAAATAGAATTTTGGGGTTGTTTTTTTTTCTGCTTGGAAGAAAATACCTTTTAAAATAAGATTGCAGTTTCTATTTTATGTATTAATCTGTGTTTTCAAATTGTTATAAACAATGGCTTGTGAAATCCACATTCAGTGACTTTCTGGTACTATTGAGTTCATGGTTCTGTGTCTCTTTGCAGATTTGGGCTTGTGTCAGTTACATTTTGAGTCTGTTACGTTTTGCTTCTGAACTCTGCTGCTTCCTCTCACATTAATTATTTACTCTGCATTTTGACCACGCTTTGTTTTGCATCTTTGTTGTTGCTGTTGCTTAGAGTTTCTAAGGGAAGGAGATGGAATTAATTGGAGGGGAACTAATTCGAGGTGTCGATCCAAGTATCTTTATTTGATGAGAAACATTATTAACCTGGTGCATGACCGTTAGTACAAGGACAGTTTGAGGCTGAAAAAAAAAATACTTGGAAAGTTTGAATCTTTAAAGTGTAACCTACGTTTTTTTAGTCTTTTAGCGTACAATGGTATCTGGAGAAAAACATGTGTGGGGAAAAACTTATTTTTCTTGCCCCTCCAGACCTCATGCTTATTTATTGCCTTCTTGTTTGGAGCAATTCCTGTGTATGATCTCTATATCCTAAGTAATTTTCTGCTGTATCCTTTCAACTATAAGTTTATATTCTATTATTGCACACCAATAATGTGTAAAAGTGCAAGCTCTTAGAGGTTGTATTATCTATTTAGCATTTTTTTCTGGTTTACTGTTTTATTAATAGTGTTATTTAAAAAAGGAAAAGCTTGTCCAACTTAACTACAGGATGGCTTGTGTTAATTGTCAGAGCTATTATCATTCACATGTGCTGCAGAGCAGCCAGGAGAAAAAAAGCGTTCCTTACAGCTGAGGGGCAGTAGGATAACAGAAGTTGGAGACTATGATGTAACTTTTTCAACAGGGGTCTTGGTGAGCATGGAGACATCAGAAAACAACCCACCAAGGTGTTTCATATGATTTTCAGATGAATGCAGAGAGTACACAAAACAGCACAGAAATATTCTTAATAAAAATAAGGGGAATCAGGCTTCAACATTTAGCTGCTTTCTTGCAATACTACAAAGATTTTAGTATGGTATGAACTAAGGTACGGGTTAAACTGGCACAAACTTGTATAGCTTCTGAGACCCAATTTGTTTGGTTTGATCTTTCTGTGATGATTCTGCTTGGTTCCTCAAGACAAAGGTGACCTTGGGGCGGGCTGAATGCTGCTGCTGCTCCTCACCCTGTCCTTGGGGCTGAGCGAGCCGGGGGATCAGAGCAGAAATGGCGCAGCTGGGTGGGCAGCCTGGCCACCGCCGGCTGCCTGCGCAGCTCTGAGGCTGCAGCAAAGGCGTACCCACGAGCGGAGAGGCAGTCTGCAAGGTGTTGCTTCGTGTGGGTGATGCTTTTTAGTTATATATCAGACAAAGGAAACCTTCTGACAACTTTGTTCGGTACCGTAATTGCTCTGGATGCAAAAGAACCTTTTAAATTGAGGTTCTTTATGTAACTTGTGTGATTAAAGCTTTCAGGTGTTATTCTAGGGTGATACGTAGCCACCCTGCTCTTTCCCACAGTGTGTGATAGCGTCCCTGCATACGCGCCGTCCCCGCCCAGCTGGTCTGTTCCAGTGCGTGCAGACAGCCCGCTGAGCACGGAAGGTGGCTGGGGCCTAACCATGCGCTGTAAGCAGGACGTGAAGAGCGGGCGGTGAGATGCGGCCACGCGCAGCTGTGGGGGCCGTGCAGTCACTTCAGCTGGCGCAAATTTCAGTGCAAACCTGGTTGTGCATGGGGTTACTTTGGTTCGGCTCGTGCCAGTCAACTTGAACTAGTTCAGGGCTCTGAAACCAGTTTAACTGGTTCATGCTGAAAAGCCAAGAATTCGAGGGTGAGCCGAGGCCTTCACTGCGGCCTGAC